TATCATGTATTTGTTATCATCAAAACTATTGCCTAAGACGTAGAACCAAACTATGTTCTAACAGGAAATGGTTTGGAAAGTGGCTTGATGTTAATCAAGCATTTTGAGTTTATTTGAAAAATATTAATATTATTGTGAATGGAGGGATTAATAAAAGGTAGGGCGATGCACTATCAATACAAAAGATGAAAGGGTAAAAAAATTAAATGGGCTTAAGACCCTTATTCTAAAAATAAATGCAAAAATAATAAGTGAAAAAATAAAGAAAAAACAAGGGGATATCAATGATGCATGGCGCGATCTGGGGAGCCCCTCTAGTCAGCTGATCAACATGTGATGGATGACTGTGATCGGATCTGGTAATGATCTTCTTCTTCCTCCGACCAAACTTATACCTCCATCATTTTCACCATAACTTTCTAAAAAAATGCACGGATTTAAGCAAATGAATAATGAAAATTCATTTACTCAATAACATAAACAACAAGGCATGCTCATAATTAACAAATAAACAACAAAAAATTGCGAAAATCAACAAAAACTTAGTGGAGCATATTTGCCCGATTCAGTCATTCTAGTCACTCTCATGACAAATAGACCATGGATTCGTGCTAAGGGTGATATTGTGAAGCTACCTAATATATTATTTGTGTGAAACAAGTATCAATTTGCATTTTACCATTTTTGCTCATGGAGGTTCAAAAATGCAAATTAATGTAGTTTACATGCAATTCAATGATGATTATGATACTAAGTAAGTTCACCAATATAATAATGAAAAGAAATTCAATAAAAAACAAACATTAAAGTCTACCTAGATGAATTTTCTCAAGAACGCAATAAACTTTTTCGGACCGGATTTGAATGGAATGATTTGTATGGTGTATGGATAGTACTCTTAATATTAGATTTGAAATTTCTTCATTAACAAGAAGAGATTCACAAACCAATTTAGAGTTGCAAGCTTTTTTTTAAAATTTCTGAAAGATGAAGAAACTTAAAATTTGGAGAGTGATTTGTGCAAGACTTTGGTTCTATTTTTTTATGTGTTTTTCGATGTGATTTATGAATGAAATGGTGTTAAATTATAGGCTAGAAAATTAGGTTTAGGAGTGAAAACCATGTGATGTAAGTGTGTGAAATAAGAGATATTTTGTGAAGATATTTTGTATGGAAATGATGAGGTAAGTATGATGTAACATGGTAATGAATATAAACATTTAAATATAAAAAGAAAGAAAATGTTTTTATTTTAATTCTTATTCTTTGATTTTTTTATGACTTTGACCTCTTATGAACTTCTAGATAATTTTATTACTTGATTTAAAGATCAAACCAAATGACAAATGGTAAATGGTGAATTATTTATTATGCTTTTGAATATATATTATCTGTTTATCCTAAAGTAAAATATTCAGATAAAAAGATTTAAACCTAATAAGAATTTGAATGCACGTAAAATGCAAAGATGTGAGAGAGCGCTTTTTTGTTGAGTTTAGTAAAAGTTGATTTTTTTTGAAATATGCAAAATGCGATGATTAAACGAGGAATGCACTAGATTAAAATGCAATATGCCTAGATGAATGAAATGATGAAATATCGAATACTAAATGAAATTCCTGAGACAAAATTGAGGTATGGCACATTTATAACAAGATATCTTACATTGATCGTTCTCGAACTCTCATAAGCTTCACACATGATGTTCAGGGTGATGTAATCCTTTACCTGCACTCGCTCACTTGTGAATCCTACCAGTGAGCCTTGGAAAGATTTGAGCTCATCAAGGTCCAGGTATCATTATCATGAAGATGGATGCATAAGGCATCTCTCTTAGTTAAAAGTATCTCAAACTCCAAAGTTTCCTTCGTGGATGAATCAGGGCTTGAGGGAGAGCCTTCTACAGTCAGATCATGGATGCATACTTTCTAATAGAAGAGCTAGCCCCCAGAGAACCCCTTGTTAGGGGGTGTTAAGGGTGTGACCCACGAGTCTTTCATTTCCTCCAGTGCTTGGTTTCTTTCCCTTCTTAGATATGAGGCTTCCTAAGCATCTCTCCCTTGAGAGTTGGATCTGCCTAGCATTTGGTTGGAGCCCCCTTTAACATATTTCTGCAAGTGGCCCTATTGGATGATGCGCTATATCTACTTCTTGAGTTGGTAGAAGTCTTCAGAGTAATAGCCATTGAGCTTATGAAACTTTCACCCCGTGTTGGGTCCAGGCGCCATGATGTTTTACTAGGGGGTAGTCGAAGAGGAATGTCGTGCGTATGAAGAACCTCACACCATATCTACTCGCGCGAGTTTTTAAAGGTGTAAAACTTTCCATATGCCCCCCATTCTATTTGAAGGTTGCCTTGTCTCTAATAGGATATGTATCTTAATTCATGCGCGACTACTACGACTTATCATGGTTACCAACTTTCCGCTCCTTAACATCTTTGGCATTTTTCAAGCATTGTTGTACTCGTCCTTTATGTAGCATTTTGCCCATGTTACTACATACACAAAGGAAGCAACGAGCTTCTGGGAAAGGAATTCATTAAAATGTCCATCCCCCAAAGGTTCTATTATGGGTGGACGACCTTGATAGTCGCCTCATTAAAATGGGATAGATATTACCTCAAAGGTTCTATAGGGCCTTGACGAATATTGCACATGCTGATGGTATACATTTTTTTTTTGTGCTTGTCGCGAACTGATGGACCAATTTCTTTACTAGGTCATGTTAGTTAATGGCAGATAGTCATGGAAGGATCATGTACCACCTTAGCATTGCATCCTTAAAGGTTCTAGAGATGAGCTTTCTTTTGAGGGAGTTAGAGGCTCCAATAGTTATCATCTGCATGTTGATAGAGGAGATATAATCTTAGGGGTTACTTCGTCCATCAAATTTTACCAGCCTCATGATGACGTTGTTGGGTATGAAGGACGTTGTTCTCTACAGTCTAATTATGGCGACATAACATTGCCCATGGAGAAACGCACCTCCGTAATGGTTTCTCCATCACCTCAAAAACCAATATTGGCCGAAGTTTCTACTAGTTTGTTCACCATATTTGATAGGAGAGATGAAGGTTAGGATAACAATCTGACCGTCTAATGCAATTGTGGATATGAAGGATGTTGTTTTCCACATTATGATTCTGGTGACATAACATCGTCTGTGGCGAAACACATCCCCATTATGTTGTCTCCATTGCTGCAAAAACTAATATTGGCTAAAGTTTCTACCAGCTTGTTCACCATACTTGATAGGAGAAATGAAGATTAGGGTAGCAATTTAACTGTCTGATGCAATGGTGACCCAAATCAGATTTACCAGGCCCCTAAGATAGACACCAATTGTACTTTTTAAAAGTACAATAAGTGATAAACCCTAGGTGTTTAAGGTTGTTTAAGGGTTTTCAAGTTGTTGTTGTTGGTGTCGAGCAAGCTTTCACAAGAATGATGACAAACTATATATCTATGTGGTTTTTGAGTGAATTCCATGTCCCCCTTAACCATGTGGTTGAGGTATTTATAGAGGTTTGTTGGGCTTAGATCCATAGACCCAAGGGGTGGTTATTCTCATTCTCTTAGGAGCGTAGAACTATAATTGTCCCTTATTTTGTCAAAGAACACAACATTCCCCTTTTATTGATTCTCCACAATCTGATTATGGCAACATAACGTCATCTATGGTGAAACGCATCTCCATTATGGTGTCTTCATCGCCGCCAAACTAGTATTGGTCAAAGTTTCTACCAGCTTTTTCACCATATTTGTTAGGAGACATGAAAATTAGGATGGCAATTTGACCGTCTGATGCAACAGTCGCCCAAATCAGATTTACCAAAGCCTCACGATAGGCGGCAACTATACTTGTTTAAAATAACCCTAATTGTGTAAGTTGTAATTGAGACCATTGGTAAAACTGGAAGAGATTCATGTCATCTTCTTCAAGTACTCTTGAGTTACTTTTAGTAAATTTTATATTGCCTTTTGCGAGGCTTTTACAATTATCCAATTACAAAAAACTAAAACTGTAATTTAATTAAAATAAAAGAATTATTCATTTAGTCATAGTTTAAAATAATTATTAAAAAAAAGGTAACATTGGTTATTTAATAGTGTTAATAAATTTAGACAAAAATTATTTAGATTTTTATATTATTTTTAAAACTAAATATAAAACCGTGTTGAGTAAATTACGGAAATTAAGAAAATTTGTTAGATAATAAATTTATTAATTATTTTGTATAATTTTATAAGTTTATCTTAAGGAGAGGGAAATAGTTAATGCGTATGTAACTGTACTTATTACATAGAAAAACATGTAATATAAGTAAAGATGTGTTTAGAAAAAATAATTAATGCATTTTAAAAGTTAAAGAGAGTCTTATAAAAAAAGATAAGAAAAAAATTCAAAAAGATTTTATAATTAGAGACAGAGATAATATAATTTAATTTCTATATTTATTTTATCACATCACTATTGAATATATCTCAAATAGATAAAAATATAAAATAATAATATCATATTTATTACTATACATTCATCAAACACATAATAAAATATTATCTATTATATTACTATCATATCCTATTGGTATCCACGCATATTCTTATCTTTTATTTATTTATTTATAGACATTTATAATCATGTTATTTTAATAATTATAAGTCTATTTCTATAATAAACTTTAAAACTTTTGACAACACATTGAATGCAAATCAAATTCTAAAAAAAAACATATAAAAAAAATCTTACACTACTAATAAATCACAATCGTTAAATAATTTAAAATATTTGATTTTAATTTTAATTTCATTTTAAGTAATAAAATTGAGTCATCATAATAATGTATTTCTTTTTATTCACATGAGATCATCTATAAAGAAAAGAAATCCAAAGAGAAAGTAAAACTCATTTCGGGTACTATAAATAATAGTGCTACTCTCGTCTTCTTCCTTCAAACAAAACATTACACACGTTACTTCATATATATCAAAACCAAAATGGGAACCTATTTTTCAAATCGGAGTCTCTTGGTTTTGGTTATCATCGGAATTTACTTAGGATTCGGCGCTGTTCATTGCTACAACCGTCCACCGCCTCGTAAAACCGTATATGTTCCTCAGGACGACGATGATTCTGCACCACAACAGGTATTACACTGTTACTATGTTTCTGCTTTCAATTTGGAATCATTAAATGCATGAGTAGTTATTCATATCACGACAAAAAAACGTTCTATTGTTTTCATGTTTCAAATTTTGAATCACCAAACTGAAAACAACGTTGGATCTATTTGCGGTTAGGATTAGGAAGTGGATACGTGATTATCTGGGTTTTACCTAGATATTTTACTAGTAAGGATTTGTTTTTTTTTTTTTTTGCAAAAGTTATTATAACTATTTTTTTTACTATTGAAAGTAAAAAATTATTGTTTAAAAATAAAGGAAAATATTTTAATTAAATTTATTTATTAATATATTGTTTAAAAGGTATGTTATAACTACTCATGATATTACTTTATACATATTTATATTAAATAAGAATGTAGTTGAATTTCAATTGGTAAAAATGTAACAAATATTTTGTTTTCCTAAAAATGAATGATAAACAAAACAAAAAAGGTATGTCATAATTCTTCAAAACATATTACGTTAGCTTTTTTTAGTCTAATTAACGAGAAAAAAAATTTAAAAATCAATTATTAAATTTATCGCTAATCAGACATAAATAATTAATCAGATATATTTTGAAAAGTTAAGAGATTAATATAAATTTTTTAAAATAAATCTCAAGTTAACATACAGATTAAAAATTATTAAATCTAAAATAATTATAAAAAACAATTTTATTTTTAATGAATTTAGTACACATTTTTTATTTTTAGAATACATTGAATTAAATATATACTTGACACAAATACAAATACTAAAGACTAGACAGATATTATCATAAATACCAACGCTAAATATCATAATATTACAAATATTAAATACTCTCTTCATTCTCTTTTATAAGAAAATTTTAACTTTTTAGATTCATTAAATAAACGATGTATTTAGATTATATATTGGTTAGATACATCAATTATTCAATAAACCTAAAAACTTAAAATTTTCTTATAAAATTTTCTTATAAATAGGAATGGAGGGAGTATCATATTAACTCTAATATGATATCGAGATACTGATCTATTGATATCTATAATAATTTAAAAATATATATAATCACATTTGTTGATATCAGACACTAATATTCGTTAGACATCACAAATATTTTTGTTCGAATGTATTGATGAAATTTATTTATCATCAAACTAGAAATCAGAACATTTATAGAGCAAGAATTTGAGAAGTATAATGAGGAGAGTATTTGAGGTTTGTAGGTACATATATATCAAGTGGGCCAAAACAAGATGGGAATTTCTTGGATTACAAACAATCCAACTCCTGCAACAGTGAAGTATGGTCCATCTCCTTCAGCAGATGCATTTTCTGCCACTGGAACTACCTCTTCTTACCATTATACTGGTTATCAATCTGGTGAAATTCACAATGTTGTAATTGGTTCACTCAACCCCAATACTGTCTACTCCTACAAGTTAGGTGACTCCCCTAAAACATACAATTTCAAGACTACACCTAATCAACTTCCAATCAAGTTTGCAGTAATAGGTACATGCTCTAAATCTAACTCAATTCTATTATTATTATCAAAGTGATAACATTTTTTAACTAATGTTTTTATTTAACATTTGTAGGAGATCTTGGACAGACAGAAGATACAAGTTCAACATTGGATCATATAAGTAAATCAAATTACGACATGTTATTATTACCCGGTGACTTATCCTATGCTGATTTTATACAACCTCTATGGGACTCTTTTGGTCGTTTGGTTGAACCATTAGCAAGCCAACGTCCATGGATGGTCACTCAAGGTAACCACGAAGTCGAGAAGATTCCAATCATCCATAGAACACCATTCACAGCCTACAATGCAAGGTGGAAAATGCCGTTTGAAGAGAGTGGATCAGACTCTAACCTTTACTACTCTTTCGATGTTTCTGGTGTTCATGTCATAATGTTGGGATCTTACACCGATTTTGACGAAGATTCTTCACAGTATAAATGGCTTCAAGGGGATTTACAGAAGATAAATAGGAAAAACACTCCTTGGATAGTGGCGTTGATTCATGCTCCATGGTATAATACTAATGAAGCTCATCAGGGTGAGGATGAATCTGTTGACATGAAGGCTTCTATGGAAGATTTGCTCTATCATGCTCGCATTGATTTTGTTTTTGCAGGACATGTTCATGCCTACGAACGCTTTGTGAGTTTTTCTTATTCCATTAATATATATATCTAACATTTTTCTCTTACAAAATGATAATTTTATTTCTTTTTACAGACTCGAGTTTATAAAGATAAAAGTGACAATTGTGGTCCGGTGCATATTACCATTGGAGACGGAGGAAATCGTGAAGGATTAGCCTCAAAGTAATTAACATTTTATTTATTTATTTTAATCATTCTCAGTTACTAATCAACATTACCAAAGGAATTATAATATAAGTTATGAACTTATGATTTTATTAACAATTGTGTGATATGTGTTGGCAGGTACCAAGATCCTAAGCCAGATATATCATTGTTCAGAGAGGCTAGCTTTGGACATGGATTATTAGAAGTGTTTAATGCATCTCATGCACTTTGGACATGGCATAAAAATGATAATGATGAGTCTGTTGTTAGTGATTCTGTTTGGCTAACAAGTTTATCCTCTAATACCGCTTGTAAAGCGTGAAATATACTTTGGAAATTAAATTAAATTAAATTAAATTTCCTGACAATAATGATATGAATGTTGATTAGTTTACGTTTTATTTGGATGTTCTTAAAGTTGATTATTGAATTGTAGGTCATTTTTGAGAGATAATGTTAGAAATGTATCTGGGGACAATTACCTCATGCAATTGTGATGCAGCGCGGGTGTGTTAGTATTGTAAACGTCTGTGTATTAAACTCGATTTTTTAGTAATAAAAAGGAGTTCATTCGTAATATGAGTATCACAAAATAAATGTGACTTTATGCATGATATTTCATTTTAGTTTATAAACTATTTTTTAGGTAATAAAGGAAAAGACTTTAACTATACATAAACAATTGGTAGGGTTTAGCTAGGATATTATAGTTTCTGTCTTCATTTCTGCAGTCTAAAAAAACTGTCCTATGCAAGTTCATACCTACGCGGACATTAATATTTTTACTTGTATTCGTTTCTTATGGGTATCTAAGCACGTTTATTCACATTTTTAATAAAAAATCATTGATTAGTTATTTGTACTCTCTAGTGTCTGCGATTCTAAGGCTGGGTTGGGTAGCCAACTTCTCTTTTTGTTTTTCAAGTTGTTGAGCTTACTTCTCTTAAGCTTGCACTTTCTAGGGGTGGTGTGTCTGGTATTTCGGGTCGGCTTTTCTGTCGATTGGGAGTGTACATCCCAAAAATATTAGACATGTATGTGTTTTCTATATCCAGTTTGACTGTAAGATGGACTTCTTATGAAGATTTCTGAACTGAAGATTTATGTCATAATGAACTGGAAGTTTGTTTATATGATTTGTATCTAGAATGAAGGGAGCTTTCAATTGTGAAGAAATAGAATGTGATTTATTTCTGATCTTATGTCTTAAGAGAATGAAGAAGTATCTATTATTTATGTTTTTGCGTGTGAAGTGACTCTATTTGATCCTAGAGCTTGATGTCTTGATTGAGCTTTGTAAGGATAATCCAGGTCAGTTGGAGGAGTTTCTTCAAGAGGGGAGATGAATGAAAGCTTAAGAAGGATAAGTTTTCTTCTAAGCTAATTAGCAACGAGAAAACTCAAATGACAAAAGGTTGTTTTTATCAAAAAGGTAAACTGAGTCAAGGATGTCATAAGATTATGTTGGGCATTCTACTTACTCATGCTAAAAGGGACTTACTTGCACTGAAGAATCTCTTCTGTGTTGAGAGTCGATTATGCAATGAGAAGATATTAGCACCCCTCACATCTGTTGTACTCAACGGGAACCATTTTGTTTATTTTGTGTGTAAGAGTGTTGTTTAGGTTTATTTGCTATTATTGCTTCATTATATGGACTTAATTAAAGGAAAAAATAATTTTTAAATTAGTGTACTCGCCAAGATTTCCTGAATCCTGTGCCTACATAACCTCAATGTGCGGTGATGAAATCAGAGCTTCGTAGTTCGTGGAACATTTGTAGGTTGTGTTTAGTGGACGATGTTAACGTTCTCATTCTATTAGTTTGACTTTGTCGCTCACATTTGGAGACTTATGTGGTGTTTGTATTGGGGTAGAACGAAAATAACATGTCTTTTCTGAAAAGAGTTAGAGTTTGCACACCCTAAGGCAGAAAAATAAGTTTTGATGAGTTAGGATGGATTTTAGGTGGATGTGAAACTAAAAGTTTTGTTTTGAAAAGGTATGGCAAGTGTAGTCACATTTCCTTATTGAAAGACAAGTACTTGGACGAAGAGCTCTAAAGCAAACATCCTACTACTTGGGAAAGATGAGGTCTAAACCCAATCATCTCCTCTTTAGTTTAATAAAAAAGAATTGCACTTGTTTTATTTAGACTATTTTGATTAGGAAGGCAATCGCATCAACAGTGAATTCTAAAAGTAATGTCTCAACTCTTAAAGAAGGAAAGGGTCACAACCCAATCACTCCTTCTACCATTCCACTTTTATTAAGAAAAGATTTTGAAAAAACACCACCTAGATATGTGGATCAATGGTTTTAGTTTTATTTATCTTTGATTTTGAAATTGTTTTGTTTTGATATAGAATGCATGGTAACATAGCTTAAGGTTTTGAAAGGATCCAGAGAATGTGGTGAGATATCGTTCAATGATAGGTGGGGTGAAGTCCAAAGCGCGTGCAAGGTTCAAATAGCATTTGTTTATTTATGAAAAATGTTTTGACGTTGAATCAAGCTTTGTTTTGTCTTATTTTTAAAAAAGTTATCGTTTTGGTTTTATCTTATTTACATACAAACATGCAAGCATAAAACGAAAAAAAAGTATATTCCTACATTATTACATGTCCATGGGGAGGGGTGCATTTTACCCACCATGGAAGGATGGATCCCACTAAACTATTACACTTTCAAGGGAAAAAGACACATAATACCCACAATAGGAAAATAGAACCATAAAACCAATACACAAATGAAAATAGCTATAATATTTACATCCAACACATCCACACAAACCTACACTTAAATCAACTACATACAAATGCAAAATTGATGAGAAGTTGGTACTAAAACATAGCCAAAACATGGTAAAAAGATGGTGAAAAAAGTCAAGCAAAAATTGCTTTAAAAAAATTATTATAAGAGAATCTGGAAATTCAACTCATTTCTAATCAAATTCTATTAAAAGAGAATTAAAACTAATTCTAATATTAATCATTTATATGAAGATAAATTCACTTAAAACTTCTACCAAAATTCAATCAAAAAGTTATCTAAACTATACTTTTTTGTGCTATCATTATTAAAAAGCAATAGTAAAGATTAGCAAAATGTTACAAAAACTTAGGGGTATGGATTACAAACAGTAGGTATGTGGCCTGAAATTAAAGGCATTGGGCTTCAGTCAAGCCCAACAGTTATTTTGTGTCAGAAAAAAATGCAAAGGGGTGTGGTGTAGCATCAGGCATTTGGGCTTGAAGGTGAGCCCAATAACCTGGTTTCTTAGTATTCTGAAACGCATGGGATATGAGAAGAAAATTTCTTTTTCTACCTGGGTGTCTTCTTGCAGGCCTCTGACGAAAAACCTAAAATACCTTCAAACTTCAAATGTGTATATTCGAACGCACCAAATTTAAAATTATTACGGGTTCATTAGGATATGCATATCCTAAATAACTCAATAGTTCAATGTTAGGTTAATTCAATATGCATATCCAAAATAATCTAATATTTCATTTTTAGGGGGTTTTCGGATATGCATATCTGAAATAACGTCATTTATTTTATATATATATATATATATATATATATATATATATATATATATATATATATATATATATATATATATATATATATATATATATATATATATATATATATATATATATATATATATATATATATATATATATATATATATATATATATATATATATATATATATATATATATATATATATATATATATATATATATATATATATATATATATATATATATATATATATATATATTGATCTGGACCGGGCCTACACTTGCCCCTTGCACAAGAGGCCCAAAGAACAGATAATCCAAGTTGGGGACCGTTAGGCAACTCCCCACATATTCATTGGGGAACATGGCCTACGTCCTCAGGCCAGTCACCTTAACTGCCCTCCGGGAATCACGGGTCTAACCTCTATTCTCACGGAGCCGTTGAAGGGGATAGTCTATTTGATGGACTCCATACACACCTAAGCCCTGGCAGTTCCCATTATTGGGCCTCAACATGGCCCAATAATGGGAACCTTAGCCCAGGGTTGGGGGCTATAAATACTCTCCCTTCTGAGAGGGTCAGGTATTCAACACTTTCTAAACTCTCATACTTTCTTGCTCATTCCCAAACTCATTTTGGCATCAGAGTGCCTTGCAGGTACCCCCCCCCCCCCCCCCCACTGCACTCTCAACAACTGCTCGAGCTAGTTGTGACGGTCCATTCTGGTCAGCTACGATCAATGGCGCCGTTTGTGGGAATCTTGCTTCCCCGTCTTCCATTCACTCAAGACTAAAGCTAAATCACTCTTCCGACCGTCATGGATGATCAAACAGCATAAAATAACTTGAACATCTGCATCATCGAAGCTAACAACAACGTCGTCGCCAACCCCGACATCGACAATGCTGGTACTGATGGCTATAACACGGCCCCTATCATTAATATGTTCGGGCCTTCTGACTATAGAGACAGAGCAACTGCCTCGTGATCATCAATAACTCCACGACTTGAAGACGATCGTCCACCTTCTTAGAGCTATCAGATCGCCCAATTCCATGAGGTCCCCATTCCCGCCGGAGCAGACGCCACGACCAGGGCACTGTTCGCGGCGATAAATCAGACGAATTATCTGATATTCTCTCAAGGAGAGAGAGATTAAGGGTGCTTAAAGATGCTTGGAGAGCCCCCAGAAGACACAAGAGGCCCCAGTCTCCTCCTCCTTGCCAAGTAGAGGAACATCCCCAATCTCCCCCACAGAGACGTAGGCGAGCGTCTCTCTAAGTCCTTCTCCCCGACCAATCGGGAGATGCCCTGCATTAGAGAAGGACCAGTCTGTTGACATGGGGAGACGCGATCACATCCCCTTGCGTTCGGAACAAAGACCCCATGGAGACAGAAACATGGTTAATAACGAACGACCATACCGCCCAAGGAACACTCCATGCGACCAGGGCCGCCACAACCATCACAATAGATTTCCCTCTCGCTCGCCAGATAGGGGTGACAAAGATGACCCCCACGGTCCCTTGTCACAAGCCATCATGGAGGCTCCCATTCCCTCGGGCATGGAGAAGCCTCCCCATCTTAAAGAGTACGACAACATTGTAGACCCGGTCGACCACATAGACGGGTTTGAGGCAATGCTGCATTACCATAATATCAGGGGACCAATCAAATGTCGGTTGTTCCCCACGACTTTGAGGAAAGTTGTGATAGACTGGTACAAGAATCTCACCCCGGGGTCAATTACCTCCTGGCGAAATTTGAAGAACCAATTCATCAGTTAG